AGAAAGACTTAGGAGGCAAAAGACATTTATAGAGTTATAATCATAGGTATGTACATATGTAATTATATTAATATATGATGATAGGGATATAGGTCTATGTACACACACACAATATGTTAAGTATGAAGGTAGCAGATGGACATTGGACCTCTACTCAAGTCTTCCCTCAATGCAGGAGCACTTTGTTCTAATAATCTACCATTCTGTGATGCTCACCTTCCCAACATGATCACTGGATAAAATGGTTGCATAAGCAAATGCGGTGAGGAGAGCTGATGGTGCCTGGCTATTAAAAGATATAGCATCTCCAGGGGCTTAAGTGGAGAGCAAATGCTTTGAGAATGATGAGGGTAACGAATGTACAAATGTGCTTTACACAATTGATGTATATAAGAGTTGTATAAGCCCCCAATAAAATGATAAAAAGAAAACACATTAAGAAAAAGGTATAGCATCTGGGGTTTTAAAGGCTTGAAGATAAACAAGCAGCCATTTAGCTAGGAAGCAACAAAGCCCACATGGAAGAAGCACACCAGCCTGAAATCATGAGGTGTTAACAGGATCAGGTATCAGGCATAAGAAGTCCCAAAACAAACAATCATGCTTATGGGAATGGGGGAAGGGGGCGTACCCAAAGCCCATCTGTAGACAATTGGAAATCCCCTCACAGAAGAGTCACAAGAAAGGGACGAACCAGCTAGGGTGCAGTATAGCACCAATGAAATACATGACATTTCTCTATTTCTTTAATGCTCCCCGCCCCACTATCATGACCCCAGTTCTATCTTACAAACCTGGCTAGACTAGAGCATGTACACTGGTATATGTAAGAGCTCTCAACACTCAGAATCTAGGACAGATAAACCCCTCAGAATCAGTAATGAGAGTAGCAATGCCATGAGGGTAGGCAGAAGGTGGGGGGAGAAGGGGTAGAAAGAGGGAACGGATCGAAATGATTGATGTACAACCTTCCCCATGCTCCTGCCAGGGGAACGAACAACACAAACATGGGTGAAGGGAGACAGCAGATGGTATAAAAAATAGGAAAATAAAAATAATTTATAAAATATTAAGGGTTCATGAGGGTGGGGTGGGGGAGGAAGGGGAAAAAAGAGGAGCTGATACCAAGGGCTCAAGTATAAAGAAAATGTTTTGAAAATGATCATGGCAACATATGTAAAAATATGCTTGATACAATTGTTGTATGGATTGTTATAAGAGCTGTAAGAGCCCCCAGTAAAATTATTTAAAAAAGAAAAAGAAAAAAGAAATCAGAGCTGTGTTGCTCAGCCTCACAGGTCTGTCCTTCATTCTATAGAGATCAGAAATTTTCACCTGTGAAGACTGGTACACCAACCCATATATGAAGCTGTGAACTTAAGGGCCCTTTGCTGAAGGAGCTTAATGATAAGAGATTTATTGGTAGAGATGATTTCAGCCTATGGGTCAGAGCATCAAGAATAGACAAGTAAAGTTGCTAGCAAAGAAGTTGTCTTGGCCAATGCAGAGATCTTGGCTTTGAGGAGAAGTAGTACGGAGAACTGCTATTGTTCTATTTCTGAGAACTGTCTTGGCATCTGAACTGGAGGTGGAGTGGCAGCTGAGTATTTCTTCAGCATTCTCCTTTTTTCTTATATGCTTCCGGCTAGAAGTGGTCCAGGAAAAGGTGAGACGTGGGGAGGCTCAGGGTAGGTGTAGACTGTTTGCTGAGTCTGATATGAGGAGAATACAAGACTGTGCTCAATATTATGGACTGTCTTTCTCTCCTACCTTATTTCTTCTCCCTGCTACTTTCCTTTGACATGTGTTTAATTGCACATGTCCTGCAAAGGCAGGAGCTGTGCTGTACAAAATGAAAATGATGACTTCCTATGTTCCTTTTTCAACTTCTTTGTTCTTATTCATTCATTATTTTGATTTATCTTACACTAATCGACAGCTCAATATGTGCATGGACTGTGCTAGACATTGGTGACACAGAAGCACTTACAGAAAAGGACTTTGTTCTCAAGATGATTCTACCTTAGAGTGGGAAACTCACAATCTCCCATTTCCTGTGGTCATGAAAGAGAAAGGATTGTTTTGATAAATCTACTGTTCCTTAAGTTATTTGAGGTAGTTAGTTTATTGTGCCAACCTGGCTGATAAACACATGTGGGGTTAATTGAAAGGTGGAGGGATAAATGGCTCAGTGAGCCTCGCCTTTCTAGTTCTCGGGTCTCTTGCTTTCTGATGGTTGGACCAGGGTGCAGCTGTCTTAGCAGTTCCCTGCTTCAGCTGGCAAGGCTGACTTCCTGCAAGACATCCCAAGGAGAAGCCACATGGACCTACCTTGATGCAGCCCTGGGTGCTGGAGCAGCTGTGTGGAGAACCTTGCCAGCACTGAGATGCTTATACATTCACTGATTCGGTTTTCCTCCTGCAGTTGGCATCATAGTGTGTGTTCTGTGAGGTGGAGGAGGACTTTGTGGATTGGTGTTGGACATATGGGTTAATGTTGGACTTGTGGGCTTGGGCAGCACTGGGTTGGGATGTGTTCTTGATGAGCACTTAACCTTTATATAAAACTCTCCCTTATACATGAGCTTCTGTGGATTTGTTTCTCTAAAGTACCCAGACTAACACATCATTCTTAATTTCTCAACACAATTACTGAGAATTTGTTGTTGCTAAGCTTTACATTCGGGGATGGTAAGAATGAAGCCAGTAGGGGACTGAGATAGTTTATTGTGCCAGCCTGGCTGATAAACGCAGGTGGGATTGACTGAGGGGCGGAGAGATGGATGGCTTGGTGAGCCTTGCCTTTCTTGTCTCTCGCTCTGTGATCATCGGACCAGTGTGCGGCTGCCTTGCTGGTTCTGTGCTTCAATTTAAAGGCTACACTGCCTGTGGGACGCCTAGCCTGTGGACTGTGTTGCTGTAAGTTGAGGTCCCTTTAAGACTTCTCTGGAGCTGGGGACTGGCGGTTGGTGACCTGCTTTGTGATTGGCTGCTGTGCTGACATAGCCTAGCTCTCTCTACAAATAGAGGAAGATCTGGCATCAGACAGAGACTTGAAGGACTGCTAGTCTCTCAACTTTCTCTCACAGGATGTGAGTTGCACTAAGCCATTTATAGTGCTTTCTAATTTAACTGTTTATTTCTTGTATTGTATATTTATCTGTATATGATTTAACAGTTCATTTCTCATTATATATCTAATTATCTTTATAAATAACTATCTTATATTATCAGGAATTTGGTTTTATCTCTCTAGAGAACCCTGTCTAACACAGGGACATAATTTCTTTCTAAGTTATGATGCAGCTATTGATCTTCTGAGATGAGAACAAAGGGGGAGCTGGGTCTTGACATGACCAAGATGGAATTCTGCCAGAACAGGGGAGACATTTGACCTATGCTTTGTGTGCAAAACAGAGAGAATGGCAGAAATAGAAAAGTGGAAAGAAAATACAAGAAAAAGAGAAACAATTAGCCACAGAAATAGCCACAGAAATGGTCCATGAAAGGTAAAAAGTCAAGAATAGTTTTATTTTTTAATGACTTTAAGGATGGAAGGAAAAAGAGAGGGTAAGTTATTGTTAGACACTATTTTACTTGGGTGAAGGGGAAGGCAACATACAATAAAAGGGAGGTCAGTCAAAACCGATGAAGGCAGAGGAAGACACTGGGAGGAATTCAAGAGACAATAGAGGCAAGTACCATTATTCACAATTCTGTAGTATTTGCCAGTAGATTCATGGCTAGACATGCAGGCTGAATGGGTATGGGAGGAAGAGTGTTACCCCCTTCCACCTCCAAATATAGATTTGAAAGAGGATCTTGTACATGGCTATTTACCCTTGCTGTAAATATATCCACAAATATGTAGAACATATAGGGGGAAAGTTTATAAAAACTTCTTAGGCATAAAAAACAACTGAGTGAATGTTTTGCTGGGCCTGGGAATTCAGGGCTGAAATCCCTGGGGACACCAACATTAATTACCATAATATAGTCCATCAAGACAAGGTTCTACATTCCACTTTGGTGAGTAGCAATTAGAGTCTTAAAAGCTCACGAGTGGCTATCTAAGGGGCTTTCCCTGTTCAGGGGAAAGAAGAGCGATGGAAAAAACCCCACATGAAAACAATTAGTCAAATAGACTAAGGGACCCTGTGAATACAAGCCTACACAAATAATTGAGACCAGACTAACTAGATAGTGTCTGATTATCACTACTAGCTACTCTAAAAGGGGGTCACTTTAGACAGTCTAGATAGAGTGGGAGAAAAATGAGGAAACAAAACTCACCATGACACAAAATAACCAGCTTACTGGTTATATAGAGACTGCTAGAACTTCTACAACTATATAGCCTTTACTTAACCTTCATATTTAGATATGAAACTTACCTTTATGGTTCAATTTTCAGCCAAAAAATAGACAGTTCTATAAGGGAAACTATAACACTAGTGAGGTATGCATACCTTAAAGTAATCAACTATTTTCTGTCAAATGATAGTAGTTACAGAAAATGTTAAGAAGGGTTAGGGAAGAAGGAATTCAAGCAGGAAATATAGGGAGGAAATGGGATAAGTGATGTAACATTGTGGAAATTGCAATCAAGGAGGTGAAACAAAATGATTGTGATTTGTTTTTTTTTGATTGTGATTTGTTAAATGGAAAACTGATCTGCTGTGTAAACTTTCACCCAATTCATAATAAAAGCTTAATTAAAAAAAAAGAAATGATCAGTGAGCTCTCAATCTTTTCTTATGTAGTGACTCAGCAACCTTTTAATGAGTGTTGCCAGTTCTGTGGAAATTTACTCAAAGGACATTGGATACAGAAACATTAAGGCTCCTATTTTTGGTTAGGGATGAATGCTGAGATAGCTGAATGGTGATATCTTTTCCTACTGTTTCAGACAGGTATAAATGTTGAGCTAGCTTAGGGGTGCTAGCTCTCCTGCTTCATCTTCTTCCCAGGTTTTTGCTGGTAAGGCAGTGGAGCCTGTGCTAGAAGGTAGGTCTGGACTTCTTGACCAACATCCTCCTGAGAGCTGCCTTCACTTCTTGGTTCTTCAGACTGTAGATGAGGGGGTTTATCATCGGGGTCACCACACTGTACTGCACAGAGACTACTTGTTCCAGGGCTGAGCCAGATGATGGAGTCATGTACCTTGAAGGAAATTGCACAGAGGGGCAAACTGAGCTCAGGGTGACAGCCACAATACTGTTGGCATAATAATCCAACCCATTTTGGAAATGTAGAAAAACCCCTCAGAATTGGGTCAGCTGTCACTGGGGAAGTATGTAGAGATGACTGATCAGTGAGAAATCATCATTTCTGCCTGCAAATTGTCTCCAACACGAATGACCTAATGCAGAAAGTGTTAGAAATTGCCCTGGCAGGTGGGGGTGGGGGAATTCTGCAGAGTATCAAAGGATGGAATAGAACTACCAATAATTTTATGAGTTTCAGTCACAATTCAATGACTCCTGGAAGGGTAGTGAATTATGAATTGAGCTGCTAACAGCAAGATCGGTATTTCAAATCCACCAGTTACTTCAAGGGAGAAAGATGAGGCTGTCTGTCCTTTTAAAGATTTATAGTTTCAGAAACCTTAAGAAGCAGATCTACTCTATCCTAGAAAGCCACTATGAGTCAGAATCTATTATAGGAGAGTGCTTTAAAAAATCATACTGTTATTCCATAATAATTATAATGGCAACATGGAATTTCTCCCCTCCCTGCCCACTGAATACACAACAGCATGGACATATTGTGTCCTTATCTTGTGATGATTATTTCTTGAAAAATTATATGCTCAGTCTAATGATGATGTCATTGTTCCTGACATTTATGGCTATGGAAATTACCCTCAGAATGATAATACATTATTTTTAAAAGGTATACTGAAACAAATATTTGTTCTTTTATTTAAATTTGGAAAAGACCAATTACCATTTGAAACAAGACTGAAATAAAGTGGGAGGTAAAGATGTGTTATACAAGGTCAGACTCCAAAATAATGAGGTTAAAATTTTCATATATTTTGTTAAGCCCAACACAAAGTATTTAATAAAGTAGCATGATCATTTTTTTGGCAATTACACTATCATCATTGGGATAAGGGTGTACTCTTCCAAGAATGGTCCTTGTGGGTTTTGGTGTATTTGACCAAAAGAGACACTTATTTTACTGTCACTCTTAGTCATCTAATCTCCTCTGCCTAACATTTCTGTGAAGTAGAGAGATGACATCCATTGTTCTTTTACGGCAGAAGAGGAAACTGAGACAGAGAGATGAAGAAATTACTTGCAATGCCCATGGCTGGTGAGCTCTCCTGAATAATGTCTTACCAGTCCCTTCTACCTTTGGATTTCTTTCCAAATCATCTTTATTTAAAAAAAAAAACAGTTTTATTGGCACATAATTTACATATCATGCAATCCAATAATTCAATCATATCAAGGAGACTTGTATAATCATTATCATACCAATTTAGAACAAACCCCCGGCCAACCATGGTTAAATTGCCTTTAAAACGAGTTCTACAACTAGAGTCAATTCTCGTGCTCCCTCCTGCCTCCCTCCTTCATTTTTCATTTCTGAAATCCCTTTCCCTTCCCTATCACCCACTCCAAATTATCTTTCTATGAAAACTTTGATGATAATATGGAGACTTTTTCCTTCCCGCTATACACACATAATTAATAGTTTCTCATTGTAGATGAAAAAAGTATCGAGCAATTTAGCAAGCACATCTCTAGTACACTAGTGGAGAGTACAGGCATTAATTTTCCACTCTCTTACCACGGGAGGACAGCTAAAGCTGTTTATGTTTGAGAGAAGCCTTTCTTCAAAGAACATGAGCTTTGAGGTAGGTGAGAACTTGGTTCAAAATGATGACTTCATTACCGGTTTGCTGTGGCTCCTCTGAGGAAATATCTGGTCACTTCTGAATGCCAGCTTTCTTAGCTGAAATTGGTTTTCATAATATCTCTTTTGTAATGTAATGCTTTTTGTGATGATTAGATTTTATATCAACTTGCACTTGTTTGAAGGTAGGGGTGGAGTCCAACCTATCACTCAGGTCACAACCTAATGTCATCTTTTTTTGGGTGTGGACTTTTTAAAAGAGATGCTCTGGAGAACGTCTCAATCTCATGTCATTCATGTCTGACTGGGTCCTATGTTTTGTGTCTGGGGTCAGTGGTCTACATGGCCCCTGACTCATGGTGTTGTCAGTGCCCTGCCATGTTACTGTGGATCTTTGATCCACTCGATTGCACCCAGAATTTGTGATCTCTCAACTTCCCACTTCACTTGCCTGCAGCTGTGTGAGTCTGAGAGCTTCCAGCTAGCACTGGACTCACGGACGTGGGTTGGACTGGGCTGGTTTGCTTTCTTGATATAAAGTTATTTCTTAGAGATATATGAATGTCACTGCTTTTGTTTCTTTAGAAAATTCAGCCTAACACACACATTAAACTTGAACTTGACTGTATCAAGCAGCTGGGATAAAATATGTGCCCAATAAATAGTTCTTACACAAATAAGCTTTAGAGACACTATCTCTTAGAGGGAAAGAGAGATGATATTTATCTCAAAGATGATTTTAAAAAAATGTTTAACACTAAATAAAAATCTACCAAAGGCTCTTTGATTGTCTTACTGGAACTCCAAAATCATTGGTTGATGAAGGAGGAAAATCTTTAGTCTTTGTCTAAAATAATTTTTCAGAGTAGACAATTGAGGACTGAGATTCTTTATAGTTACAAATAAATAGATTCTTTCTAGTCACACAGCTAGGTCACAGCAAAGCCAGGACTAGAATCAAAATCTTCTGAATTCCAGTATAAATGTAATTATTTTTATGCTACTTTATAGTGCTTCTGGTTTTAAAAACAAGACCATTTCCGAGCAAAAAGCACCCTACATTTACATTCATGAAGTGTAGTATGACATACCTGAAAAATCCTGAACCATAGAAGATGGTGATCACAAGGAAGTGAGAAGAGCAGGTGGAGAAGATCTTGCTCCGACCCTTGGCAGAGTTGATTCCCAGAGCGGTCATGATGATGCGAGTAGAGGACCCCAGCAGTGGGACAAGGGTGCCCAGGCCCAGGACCACAAGGCTGGTCAAGATACAGGCAATGCTAGTGGAAGGGTCAGAACAGGTCAACAGGAGCATTGGGGGAAGCTCACAGGCAAAACTGCGAACAAGGTTGGGGCCACAAAAGTACTGCTGAGCCAAGAGGAGAGTGTTAATCAGGCTGGCTCCTATTCCGAAGGCCCAGCTTACTACCACCAGGCCAGTGCATACCTTCTTGTTCATAGCCAAAGTATACAACAGTGGGTGACACACAGCCTGGAACCGGTCATAGGCCATGACTGAAAGGATGCAGGCTTCAGTGGCCCCAGAAAATATGACCAAGAAAATCTGGGCAAAACACTCAAGGAAAGATATAGTCTTCCACTTAAAAAGAAGGCTTTCCAGCAGTTTAGGCACAATGGTTGAGGAATAGAAAGCATCCAGGAAGGAGAGGTGACTCAAGAAGAAATACATGGGGGTGTGGAGGTGGGAATCAGTGTTGATCACCAGTATCATCATCAGGTTCCCTGTGAGGGTCAAAAGGTAAATTACCAGGAATAGCCCAAAGAGTAGTACCTGGATTTGAGGGTCGTTGGATAGTCCCAGGAGAACAAAGGCAGTGACTGTGGTTACATTGCTGACTTCCATGTAGGAGCCAAGCTTCCCCTTACCAGAGCTGACAGGAACACTCAACTGGAGCAGCACTCTGAGAACATGCTTGGAGATGAGGCACCATAAGTAAAGCTTCAGGCCTGACTCAGGACAGATTGTGTGGCAGAGGTAGTTTGGCCACGACACACCTCATTAGCCCTTCCTAGCTTAGGTCAATAATCTATTAGCCAACATGGAGACGGTGGGAAGAGAAAGTGTAGAGAATCAGACCTAGAAACGAAGAGAAAGAACCGGGGTTGTACAGACTGGGGAAGGAATGGAAAGGACTTAGGAATAAACTCCATAGCAAGAAAAGTGTCATTTTCCAGTTTTAAAGAGAACTGAACTGAAAGCACAGGAGGGTTGACTGTCATCATGAATGATCAATACACTCAGGTTGACTATCTAGCAAGACAGATCATGGTGCTCAATGAATGTTTGAATTACTGGGAAATTTATTGAGACACCTGATGGTGTTGCAAGTCCTTTTTCTGCCACTGTATGCTTGGGAGTGAATCTTTTGACTCTATAATTCTTGGTTATTGAAAAGAAATCTAGACAAACGTATGACTTCTAAGGTCAACTAAACTTAGAAACTAAACAAGGAAAACACACTTTTGGGGCTATGTCTAGTTCTAAATAGTAACCTGCTCTTTTCTGCGTTGAACACGCAGAAGTAGCTCATGAATTCGCCAGTTTTATGGAAATGAGGCAGTGGGAAGCCTTTAGTCTGAAGGTGAGGCCTGTGTACATCCCACTCATTCCAGACTTCTCATCTCAGGGTTTTTGTTCATTTACGATGGCCATTAGTTTTCCTATAATCTCAAGACCTAACATGAGAGTCCATAAAACAACAATTTGAATAACTAGTTGGTTTCTAAGGCCCATTTCAAATGAGAAATTCTAAAGATGGGTCAATAAACAAAGAATGGATTACTTTCTGCAGTGTCCCCAGTAGATTTGAATAAAGCCTAGTCAGATTCTAACCTGTCCTGTGCACCCACATGGATATTAAAAGTCTGGAAAGGGAAGAGAGAAAAGAAAAGACACCTGATTATTTAAGAGAGAAAAGAAAGGACACCTGATTATATATATATAGAAAGGACACCTGAATATATATATATTCAGGAGGAAAGCGGAGTCAGTGTATGTGTAAGCATCTCAGCGCTGAATATATATATATATTCAGGTGTATATATATTCCAGTAGAAGTCTAATTCAGTCTAAACCAGATCTCTACTTATGGTTCATATACTCACAGGTTCCTAGAGTGAATAGTTTTAGGAGAAGATGGATTTGAAGGAGAAGGTTGGTCTTCATCTATCTCCCGTGGGCAACAAAAGATGCCCTCAGGGTGGATACCTATATGACATCCTTTCTAACACCAAGGCAAAAGCCAAAGACACAGGGGTTCTCTTTGGGCTTCCCCTGATGTTGCCCTTTCTTTAGAAGCTGCATGGGTAGAATTGCTGAGCAAGAATATATTGTTATAGTTTTTCTGTCCAAAGGGAAACCTCCTTAACTCTGCCTTTCAAATAACAATGACCACAGGGACTTGATCCCAGCTCTAGACCTTGGAGAGTAGAGGAGGCCCCTGGAGAGGCCCTTAAGTAGGTGGCCTGCTCTAGTGTAAAATGAGTTCTCCAGGGCAAACTTCTCCCCTGTATCATTCTTATTCCAGTGGATTACATCAGACATCTAGAGCCTTATGGTGGCCAATGAATTCTGAAGACAAAAATGAAAAAATCCTAATGTTTCCTAATTTTAAAGCTTGACATTTCCTTCTTTCATTCCTTTATGCTTTGTTAAGTTTTGTCTTACTTATGATGATAAACTAATAGAAAAATACAGGTAATAATATAAAGAAAAAATTAAATTTAATCATGTCACCCTCAAATGAATTCTTTTAAAACAATTTAAGTAAAAATTGATTGAAAATCCTCTTGTAATGGAAATTTTGAATGTACAGACATGTAAAGAATACCATAGTAAACTTCTTTTGAGTTGATTGCGGTCCTCCAGGTGTTGACACCATGTGCTGCAGAGTGGAACTTCACTCCGTAGGCTTTGCAACTGTGACCTTCCAGAAGCAGATCTCCTGAGGAATCTCTAGGTGGGGTCAAACTTTTCCATTGTTAGCCACAGGCTTAACTGTTTTTGCCATCCAAGAAATGCTTAAAACATTTACCAAAGTATAAACAATAGCGTAACAACAACTCTTTCTCTATCATGTAGCTTCAACAATGATCAACTCATTGACTCTTACTGAGGTAGTTAGCTTATTGTGCCAACCTGGCCGATAAATGCATATGGGGTTCATTGAAGAGCCGAGGGATAAATGGCTCGGTGAGTCTTGCCTTTCGAGTTCTCGGGTCTCTTGCTTTCTGATGGTTGGACCAGGGTGCAGCTGCCTTAGCCAGTTCCCTGTTTTAGCTGGCAAGGCCTACTTCCTGCAAGCCATCCCTGAGGAGAAGCCACATGGACCTGCCCTGATGCAGCCCTGGGTGCTGGAGCAGCCAGCACTGAGATGCTTACGCATTCACTGACTCTGCTTTCCTCCTGCAGTCGGCATCATAGTGCGTGTTTTGTGAGAGGGAGGAGGACTTTGTGGATTGGTGTTGGACATATGGGTTAATGGGTTAATGTTGGATTTGTGGGCTTGGGCAGCACTGGGTTTGGATGTTTTCTTGATGCACACTTAACCTTTATATAAAACTCTCTCTTATACATGAATTTCTGGGGATTTCTTTCTCTAAAGTACCCAGACTAACACACTTACCAAGCTTCAACAATATAGGCTTGAGAACGTAGTCTCTGCATTACACAAACACGTATGGGTGTGAGTTTGAGCCTCCATCCTTGTGGTTAGCAGCCAAGTGTGTTAACTTTTAGTACCACCCAGAAACTTCTAGATATAGAATTAATTTTATGCTTTTGTGAGCACTGTTTTATCACTGAGTTTATTTTCTAGTTGGCTACTGCTCGTGTTGAAAACGCTATTGATTTTAGTAATTTGATCTTGTAATTGCAACCCTTGCTAAACTCTCTTTTTTAGTTCCAATAGCTGATTTTGTTGGGTTTCTAAGGAATGAATAAACCACCAGGAAATAATTAGACAGAAATGCTCTTTTTTGGTAGACATTTGCATCTTCAGGCAACAACAACAACAATAACATTGTTAAGCAGTAGGGCTAGTAGTTGGCAGCTTTCCTTTGTCAGGGTCTTAAAGAGAATGAAGCTTTCTCTAAAAAGTACTTGTACAATGCTTATTGTAGAATTTTGTATGTAACTTTATTTAAGTTAAAAATTCACTTCTGTGGGTGAAGGGAGACACCAGACAGTGTAAGACATGACAAAATAATAATTTACAAGTTATCAAGGAGGGAAGGGAGGTGGGGGAAGGAGGGGAAAATGAGGAGCTGATACTAAGGGCTCAAGTACAAAGAAAATGTTTTGAAAATGATGATGCAACAAATATACAAATGTGCTTGACACAAAGGATTTATATACAAATTGTGATAAGAGTTGTATGAGCCCCCAATAAAAGGATTAAAAAAAATTCACTTATATTCTTCATTTTATAAATTAAAATAATAAAACACTGTTGATACTTATCAAATACTTTTGTATCATAGATTGAGATCACAGGGCTTTTCTCTTTTAGCCTACTACAGTTAATTTCAGTGAAAGATCTCCTAAGTAGTTTTGAATTTATTTAGAATTTTAATATCTAGGATATAGTTTTCTTTTTAAAAATCATTTTATTGGGGGCTCATACAACTCTTATCACAATCCATACATCCATCCATTGTGTTAAGCACATGTAAATTTGTTGCCATCATCATTCTCAAAATATTTTCTTTCTACTTGAGCCCTTGACATCAGTTCCTCATTTCCCCCCTCCCTCATGAACCTTTGATAATTTGTAATTACTATTTTTTCATGTCTTATACTGTCCGATGTCTCCCTTCACCCACTTTTCTGTTGTCCATCCCCCAGGGAGGGGGTTATGTGCAGATCCTTGTGATTGGTTCCCCCTTTCTACCCAACCTTACCCTTACCCTCCTTGGTATCACTACTCTCACTATTGGTCCTGACGGATTTATCTGTTCTGGATTCCCTTGTGTTTCCTGCTTATATTTGTACCAGTGTACATCCTCTGGTCTAGCTGGATTTGTAAGGTAAAATTGGGATCATGATAGTGGGGGGTGGGGGGAGGAAGCATTTAAGAGCTAGAGGAAAGTTGTATGTTTCATCATTGCTACACTGCACCCTGACTGGCTCGTCTCCTCCCATGACCATTCTGTAAGGGGATGGCCAGTTGCCTACAGGTGGGCTTTGGATCTTCACTCTGCACTCCCCCTCATTCAAATGATATGATTTTTTTGTCCTTTGATGCATGATCCCAGATCCCATCGACACCTCATGATCACATAGGCTGGTGTGCTTCTTCCATGTGGGCTTTGTTGCATCTCAGCTAGTTTTTACAACATGCTTAATTGTTTTTAAGCTTGATTTTATTTTATATTTAATATATTTTCATTTTAATATTTAAAAAATCATTTTATTAGGGGCTCATGCAACTCTTATCACAATCCATACACATATCAATTGTATCAGGCACATTCGTACATATGTTGCCATCATCATTCTCAAAACATCTGCTTTCTACTTGAGCCCTTTCATTTTAATATATCTTGATCGGTTTTGTTAAATGTTTATTTTATTGATCTTTCTTTCAACCCTCTCCTCATGTGGAGAGAAGAGATAAGAGTTCTCTAATACATGGACGCCCTATTCTGAAGCATTATTTCTACTTCTATCAGAAACTCTTAAATTTCTAGTCTTCTTTTTCTAGCAAATTACCATAGTGTTGGGAATCAGCACTTCAGGATTATCTTTCTTATCTTAAATGATATGTCTTAGTACTTTGTTACTTAAAAAAAAAAAGTGGAATATTTTACTCCTAAATTGCTCATCTTTGGATATTAGTGGAA